CGGGCTCAAGGTTGACTCAGCCGCCCATCTTTCCGAGGTCAGTAAAATGACCCAGATTGTTGGGGGCAATATGCTGACTCTGGAAACTACTTAGAGAACATTACAAAGTGTTGTGAAGCAGTATATATAGTAAGTCTAAGTGCTATTGCTACCACAACATCAAAATTGAGTTGTAAGTAGCTTTTGTAGGATTCATCTTAACTTGAAACAGTCGCTAAGCAAGTTCATATTTATTTACTTCATTAAATTAAAACAAGCCAGGACAACTAACAAATTGAATGCTGCGTACTTTGAATACTCAAAATACCCTCTTGTCTCCTGGTTAGCTGTTTAATATCTGCCTGAAGTTCTGGTGTGTTGAAGACATCCAACAGTATTTTTCTATAATATTGTAATCAAAAGAGGCCAATTTAAACTAAGTTAACAAATAATGTAATAGCTGCTGTAGGTAAATAATCTGAATTTGAAAAGATGGCCATAGTGTAAGTAGTACTTGAATTTCTCAATCTGAATAAGGTCGTGTTGGAAGAATGAACTTGCAGTATAGGGTCACTTCCAGATTTAACACAGTTCTAAGATTCTGTGAGATCTATGGATACAAGGAGCTGCCGATAGTTTTACAGAGGAATTATTGAGTCTATCATCTGCACCTCTATAACTGTATGGTTTGGTTCTGCAACCCAACAGGACAGACACAGACTTCAGATAATTAGGACTGCAGAAAAAACAATTACTACCCACCTGCCTTCAATCGAGGACCTGTATACTGTACGAGTCAAAAAGAGGGCTGTGAAAATATTTACAGACCCCTCACATCCCTGACATAAACTGTTTCAACTCCTTCCCTCAAAACAACACTATAGAGCACTGCACACCAGAACAACTAGACACAAGAACAGTTTTTTCCCGAAAGCCATCACTCTGCTAAACAAATAATTCCCTCAACACTGTTCAACTATTACAAAGTCTGCACTACTATTACTATTAACCTTCTCATCACTCCTTATCACCCATCTCCCCCCAGAACTGTAACTTTGTCGCTTGTATCCTTACGATTTATATTGATTGTTTCCTGGTATGATTTGATTGCTGCTTGTACCCTATGACTATCATTAAGTATTATACGTTATGATTCTTGATTCTTAATGAATGTATCTTTTCTTTTATGTATACTCACAGTATTTACACCAAGACAAATTCCTTGTGTGTCCAATCACACTTGGCCAATAAAGAATTCTATTCTATTCTATTCTATTCTATTCTATTCTATTCTATTCTATTCTAATTGTCTACTATCATTTAGAGTTTATGTGAACTATCCTATTTCTGGAAAGGACATCTTCAACACAGTTAAGGTTAAGAACCTTATTATATAAGTTCACATTTTTGATGCATTCTTAGTGTAAGTGTTTAGATTCGCAATGATGGCCCAATCTCACAACTAGTACAGATCAGTTCAGTTGCTAGCATAAAAGCATATCCAAATTGGTGAACAAAGTATCCATTCTTAAATCTTGTTCCAAATTAGTTAGCTATGGTTAACAAAGTGTCGCTATTATATCATGTCCAATAAAAGCATCAACTAAATGGTGATCTAAATATTATGTTCTTGTTAGAATGTCACTAAAGTTTCACTTCTTAACTGTCTTAAAAGATCCTAAAAATAAAGCCAATTATATTCCACATATTCCAATATATTTTTCAATTTTTATTTTAACATTTCAAGATTACAAAAGTAATTTCATGCTTATATTTATATGGAATTAAACCTCTGAATTTATTCTTTACTAATGAACATGCTCTTTATTGACATAATAGAAAGGCAGATAATTAGATATGTAATAATATCTTTAAAAACAGTTTTCTATTAGTCTTGTATTCTGTTTTGTAAGCAAAAGCATTTTAAAAACCCTCTCTGAATTCAGTAGACTGATCTTTAAACAATGTAAGACTGAGCTGAGCAGCAAATCTTCCACAGACAGTTTTGAATTCACAAAGTTCTATCACGATCCCCATTAGCCTATTACTGTAAGTTTAAACAAAACAATAGGGGCCTGAACTGTATTTTGTTATCCTATTCAAGAGACCTATTCAAGACTAAAGAAGACAATTGTTAGAAAAAAAGGAAAGATCATTTTAACGGCTACATAAAGTTCCCAGAATTTTTACATTCCCAGGAATAAGAGAATAGCAGAATGGCAAGCCAGAATCCAACATATTCTGAGGTTGCAAGAAAGTGATGTTTTCCTTTTCTTTTAATGAATAATTCCTAAATTCCAAGCAAGAAATATTAAATAGCATAAAGATTGGTGCAAAGAAATACTAGTTTCGGTCAGAAAGCAAACTAAACCACTATCAAACCCCACCATCCCTTGCACTTCTTAATATTATCAAACATTCCTGCGCAAAGCTCCCTTCATCTTTGATTTTAAACTTTTATTTTTCACCAAACTCTTAAAAATATAATATAAAATATATTGAATTTTTTAAATCATAAATGGTTAAAAAAAATCACATTTAATGTGATGTAATAAAGTCCACCTGTTTTCTACCCAAGGTCTATAAATGTATGTAGCAATCCAGTCCCCTTTGAAGAATTTTTAATTGCTTTATAACTTAGGGGTAGAGAAAGGATTTATGGAAACTGTTTGCTAGTGCTACATATTTAGTTGCAACTGCTAAGTATTCATACTAAAACTCAAGAGAAGACTTGAAACTTCGTGGATAATTACTTTTTTTATACAACTTAAATGTTTCTCAAGATGAAGACTGTCCTACTATTACAAAAAATGAGACAGATCTTAAGAGGTGGAGATATCCAAACCTTTATATGTCACATCAGCTGTATCAGCTGTATCAGCTGTATCCCCCAGCTATTCCCACCCACCCACCCCATAAAATACACTGTTTTGTCACAGCTATTCAATTGTCAACCTAGTGACTAGTCTATTACTAAATATTAAATGTGATGGAAGAAGTTGTGTATTTCACAACTGGTAGTAAAAAGCCTCAGATTAGTCCTACAGTGCAAATTATTCTTTATTGTGAACCAGTAAAACCATTTTATATGTAATATCAAGGAGCCCTGTGATATTAAAACACTCTGTTTTAACATAGTACAGAGTGTTCATCCTATTGTTTACATACTCTATAAAAGCTCTTTCAGCTATGAGGTGATGAAAACTTTATATTCTATGCACAATTACAATCAATGATACTTTAATTATGCATATTCTTACCAAATACAATATTCCCTCTATACTCATAAATAGTGCATACCCAGAAACTTTAGTAGGGATACTTCACATTAATGGCATAGTTCAGTTCAAAAACTAGGATCCTCACAGATCACTAATATCTATCACTGCTGTGAGTCTTTTGTTCACATCCAATACCACATAAAAAGCAATTATATTTTAAACTGGTTTAATGAACAACGTAGTAAAATGGCATTCTGATTGAGACAATTTATAAACTTAACCATACATAAAGGTTTTGGACTTAGTGAAATAGAAAACAGACCATCCAAGGACCTGCAACTTCCAAAAACACATGAATGCAAGCAAACCTTACCACAAACCAAAAAAATAATAATACTGCTAATAATTCACTGAAGTGTAGCAACCATATTTTCGCAGGACTAGCTAGGAGGGAACTCAAGTTGAAATTATGTCAGGAAGTTTCAGGTAGGAGAAGCACAATTTGGGGACTTAGAACAACTTCTGCCAACCTTGCCCTTTTCGGTGTCATTTTGCTAAAAAATACAGAGTAATCTGTCCTGGCACTGAAAGAATCTGAAAATCTTAAAAGTATCATTGATTCTCTCACTGAAGATAACATATATCCATCTCTATTATTAACAGTTATTCTACCTGCCTTTCTAATTGATATCTCTTATTGTCTGCTTACAAAAAATTTGAAAATGTACACAGGCAAAGTGCTGTTCTTTCCAAATCATAACCAGCCAAGATAGACCATCCTTTTCATTTCCATGTACAAATAGTCAAGATACATTAACACAACTCCTGTAGATGGCTCCTAAAAATCAGACAATCATTATACTAAAACCATCATTACGTTTCCTAATACTTTTGAAATACCAGATCTATTTTTTGGGTTATGCCTTAATGTAAACAGGAAACCTCCCCTCCCCCCCCCAAAAAAAAACCCTTAAATGTGGAGACTCCATGTGGTACATTAGCAATTATCTTGCCAAAAAAAGTTGCATATTTAGCAAGCTAAGAAAATCTGCTATCAAATCTTGGGCACTGATTTCTCTCTCTCTCTCTCTCTTTTTCAGGTTCTCACATTCACATGCTCACCCCCCCCCCTCCAGCACAAAATGGCGACGTGGACAATTGGGGGAGGAGAAGAAATAAAAGAGTGAAAACATCCTCTTAAGAAAAAAGGAAGAAGAGGGGAGGAGGGAAGGGCATAAGAGGACATGTGGGGGAGGGAAGATGAAGACAAATGTGGATGGACGAAAGCTATGTACGGAAATTAGGAAGAAAAATGGTAGTTTAGAAGCAAAGAAGGGGGTGTCGCTACGAACAAAAGATGGGCACGAAAAACAGGTAATGGAGGGATAATTAAACAAACCCCTGGAAAAGAGAGATCTTCCAAGTTCACTCCGTCTTTCAACCACCACGTCTACCCATTTTTTAAAAAGGAGACACAACATCTCGAACAAGAAGATCAGGTTAAAACTGGGTAGAAGGCGGGAGTTTTTGGCAACCCCGCGGCGGCAGAACTACAATATCCATCATCCAGAATTTCGGGGAGGAAAGGTTCTTCGTAATACAGACGCTCCCTCCTTCCTGAAACTCCACACACCGAATTACATCGTTTAAAGAAAAATGAGGAGTGGGGGGTGGGGATGGGGCGGGGGAGCCTCTTTGCGAGCCTCCTGGACCCTTATAACAACGGCAGGCAGTCCGATTCCGGAAAAGGCTCCCAGGCCGCGACCGGCAGTGAAGGGCAAAGGATCGTCTCCTCCTTACCTTTTCTTCTCGCAGGAGCCATCCGTCGTCGGGCAAGGCTCCATGGTGACGGCGGAGGCCAGCTTTGGGCTGGCCCAAACAGCCTCTCACAGGACGGAGGGCTTCAGCGGCCTGCAAAAGGCGAAGGAAAGAAGCCAACGAAGTGCAGGAGGCGGGGGATTTCTCTCCGAGCGGATCAGAGGCGCTTCGCGAGTGAAGTGGTGCTGGCTGAAGGGGGCGGCAGAGCGGAAAAGAAGAGGAAGGCTTGACAGGCGGAGCCGAAACCTGCCGGCCTCGGCCTCGCCTTCTCATCACGAGCGCTCTCTGCCCCAATGAGAAGCCTCCTGGCGGCCCGGCCCCCCTCACAACCCCGGTCGGCTGAGCCCTCTGCGGAAAGGCGCTGCGCGTCTTCCGGCTTCGCGTGTTGTTAGGATGAATACGGGAGCGAAGGAGAATAGCCTGGTCCGCTTCTGAGCTGCTTTTCGTGTTTATTTGCTTTTATTGTCTATGGAAGTTCTCAGTCATTCAGGTCATGGTTGTCCCAAAGGTGACGGTTTTTTTCCAAGAGGCCACTGAACTTTCTGGGTTTTTTTTGCAGACATTTCGCTTCTTGGATGAGAAGTGAAACGCCTGCAAAGAAAAACAGCTTTAAGAAGTTTCGTGGATGAGAAGGGAAATGTCTTCAAAGAAAAAACAGTTGCCTCTTGAAAAAGCACCCTTATTTGCTTTATTGATAAAAAAAAAACGCCGTTCGAAAGCCTCAACACTCAGTTCTCCTGCTCCCACCCAAAGAGCACATTGTATTATGATCACACACTCCTGGTATATGTCATACTGACCACCTTCGCCACAAGTGTGGTTATCTTGGGTGAAAAGTGGAACTGCAGCTGCACCATCTGAATTGTTTTGATTCCACCTTTAAAATGCAGTCTAGATTGCATATAGAAAAAGACCAATGTAACAGCAATATTACAGGCAACATTTTAAAAAATGAGTAACAAACACAAATTGATGTAAACCCAAAACATGTTTCTAAGAAACTGTGTTTACCCAAACAATGTTATTGATTTATTCAACTCAATAGATCGTCCATACTATAAAGCAATCACAAAGGCTCCGTTCATATGACAAATGAGATTAAAATGTAGTTTACTAAATCCTATCAAAGGTGGGAAGGGAGTCTAGCTCAGTGCTTTCCAAGCTTTATCTTTCATAACCAAAACTGCTTATCAGAAAGTCCTTTTTCAAATGTCCCTATTGTGATTAGGTAGTGAATCATGTCATTACCCAAGGAAGAAACCCAGGTTTTTACCCAGGTTTGGAAAGTGCTGCTCTAGCTAGATTGCAGAATATGATTAAAACAATGTAAAAAATAATATTAACTAAAGGAAAAAAAAGTAAACTACGAAGTGCACAAATATATTCTTAACCAACTATCAAAAAGGGAATTGATTGCTCCACACTACCCCAAGTTCTGTTGAAATGTTCCTCAATTAATGGCACAAGCTTTTGTCACACTTTCCAACCATTTAAAAATAGGCACTTGTTCTACATAAAAAAGTGAGCAAGGGGTTATATTTCAGAACAGTAGTGATTTTCCTTTAATAAATATGCTTCATCACTGGAGGTTTTTAAGAGACTGGACAGTCACTTGTCTGAAATGGTATAGGGTCTCCTGCTTGAGTAGTGGGTTGGACTAGAAGACCTCGAAGGTCCCTTCCAGCTCTATTCTGATTGGTTGATTGCTAATCACACTCACGAAATTTAGTAGAACATAATTTCAAATATAAATACATTAATGTGGATATATATTCCCAGAAAAAATCGGCATAATTGGCTAAAGTTCCTAAACAATATATTGTAATACAATGAGTAAATCTAACACACTTGTCCATCTGTTCCTAGGTGTATCTTTAGAATAGAATAGAATCTAGTAGAATAGAATTCTTCATTGGCCAAGTGTGATTGGACACACAAGGAATTTGTCTTGGTGCAAATACTCACAGTATACATAAAAGATACATTCATCAAGAATCATAAGGTACAACATTTAGTGATAATCATAGGGTACAATAAGCAATCAAATCATACTACGAAACAGTCAATATAAATCATAAGGATACAAGCGACAAAGTTACAGTCATAGAATCACAAGTGGGAGGGATGGGTGATAAGGAATGATGAGAAGATTAACAGTAATAGTAGTGCAGATTTTGAAATAGTTGAACAGTGCTGAGGGAATTTTTTGTTTAGCAGAATGATGGCTTTCAGGAAAATTATATCATATTTATATGTCATAAGAGGAATTTGTTACCATTACTTGCTACTTGATTCTTTTAATTGTGTATGCTAGAGATTAAACAATCATTTACCACCTGTAAAACTTTTCCCTGTCTATAGGTTTATATAATACATAATGGCAGGGAATGGATCACTCTGTAGACAAGTACAACTTGGCATAGCATGTCATTAGGTTCCATTTAAAAATGTCCTCTTAATATTGACAAACAAATATTACATTGCACATTAAGTGTTGCACCGATATGTTTGGGGCATTATGTCCCAAATCTCTTCTATGGCATAAGAAAAAATGACCACCTCTCTCCAAAAACCCACATTGATACCAACATATACAGGTGAAACTCAAAAAATTAGAATATCATGCAAAGGTTCATTTATTTCAGTAATGCAGCTTAAAAGATGAAACTAATATATGAGAAAGACTCATTACATGCAAAGCAGGAGAATTCAAGCCATGATGTGTCATAATTGAGATGATTATGGTTTACAGCTCATGAAAAAATCCATAATCTCAGAAAATTAGAATATTGTGAAAAGGTTCAATATTCTAGGCTTAAAGTATTCCACTCTAATCAACTAATTAAGCCGTAACACCTGCAAAGGGTTCCTGAGCCTTTAAATGGTCTCTCAATTCTGGTTCAGTAGGAATCACAATCATGGGAAAGACTGCTGACCTGACAGTTGTGCAGAAAACCATCATTGACACCCTCCATAAGGAGGGAAAGCCTCAAAAGGTAATTGCAAAAGAAGTTGGATGTTCCCAAAGTGCTGTATCAAAGCACATTAATAGAAAGTTATGTGGAAGGGAAAAGAAAAAGTTATGTGGAAGTATTGAAGAAAAAGGTGCACAAGCAGCAGGGATGACCCCAGCCTGGAGAGGCTTGTCAGGAAAAGGCCATTCAAAAGTGTTGGGGACTTTCACAAAGAGTGGACTGAGGCTGGAGTCAGTGCATCAAGAGCCACCACACACAGACGGATTCTGGACATGGGCTTCAAATGTTGTATTCCTCTTGCCAAGCCGCTCCTGAACAACAAATATCAGAAGTGTTTTACCTGGGCTAAAGAAAAACAGACCTGTTCTCTTTCCTGATGAGAGCAACTTTTGCATCTCATTTGGCAACCAAGGACCCAGAGTCTGGAGGAAGAATGGAGAGGCACACACTGAAAGATGCTTGAAGTCCAGTGTGAAGTTTCCACAGTCTGTGTTGATTTGGGGAGCCATGTCATCTGCTGGTGTTGGTCCACAGTGCTTCATTAAATCCAGGGTCAATGCAGCCATCTACCAGAAGATTTTGGAGCACTTCATGGTTCCTTCCGCAGACGAGCTTTATGGGGATGCCGACTTCATTTTCCAGTAGGACTTGGCACCTGCCCACACTGCCAAAGGCACCAAAACCTGGTTCAATGACCGTGGATTACTGTGCTTGATTGGCCAGCAAACTTGCCTGACCTGAACCCCATGGAGAATCTATGGGGCATTGCCAAGAGAAAAATGAGAGACATGAGACCGAACAATGCAGAAGAGCTGAAGGCCGCTATTGTAGCATCCTGGTCTTCCATAACACCTCAGCAGTGCCACAGGCTGATAGCTTCCATGCCACACCGCATTGAGGCAGTAATTGCTGCAAAAGGGGCCCAAACCAAGTACTGAGTGCATGCTTATACTTTTCAGAGGTCTGATATTGTTCTATGCACAATCCTTGTTTTATTGATTGCATGTAATATTCTAACTTTCTGAGATTGTGGATTTGGGGTTTTCATGAGCTGTAAGCCATAATCATCACAATTATGACAAATCATGGCTTGAACTATATTGCTTTGTATGTAATGAGTCTATCTCATATATTAGTTCACCTTTTAAGTTGCATTAGTGAAATAAATGAACTTTTGCACAATATTCTAATTTTTTGAGTTTCACCTATAGATTCAATAAGTTATTGATCACTTGGTATGGTATTCCTATACAAGCATATTGATGCAACACATCACACAAATTATTGTTTATTTAGCTGTTTTTAGAAAGCATGATAGAAGAGGTTCATATAACAAACATTAACAAGAAGGCAATCAAACTGTACAGCTGGCTTGATAAGTTGTGGAAAACCAGACTACAATTCAATGCGCTAGTAACTTTGTTGAGCTTCACTATTATCCTATTTTATTGTATAACACTCAGAGTCCCCCTCTAAGGGAGATAGGCTGTTTAGAAATGTGAAATATTAATAAATATTTGAATAGGAATCTTCTGCCTAATGATAAAAGTTTTTTTTTTCATGTCTATATGGTATAGATTAAGATGATCCAGTTTATTTACCACAGAGTACTATTTTGCCCAGAGTCACATTGTAGGGGAGATGGGCAGCATAATAATAATAATAATAATAATAATAATAATAATAATAATAATAATGATTTATTTTTTTGAAACATGCTTCTCTAGAAAACATTTAAAAAACATGTCTTGACATGTTACTTGACAAATGCTTTATTTGCAACAGCAACGAACTATTGGTTCAGAAAAATCAATGAGCTACTGACTCATATATTCTGACTCTATCACTTTTTCCTTTTGTCTCATCAGGTGTGTTGGACTACAACTCCCATCACTGCCAGATAACGTGGAAGATTTCTGAGAAAAGCTGATTAAGAGCCTCAGATCTGGGTTATGTCAAAGGAAACTTACTCTGGGGGAAAGGAAAACTCAAAATGATGGTATTTTCTCAAACAAGAACAGAAAATACCACTCATACTGCAAACAGAGTCTAGGTTGTTTTTGCTACAGTGAATTAATCTGCTCAGAAGTAATGAAAATCTAATCTTTAGCTATTCTTGTATAAATAAAATTGCTTGCTATAGTATTGGAAGCCTAAGTGGGACAAAAAAGCAGACATGGAGATACTATAAATGGGGCTAGAACTACCTCTCTTCTTGAATT